AGGTATAAAAGGATTTTAGGGCTTATTCACACCAATTACAGTGCATTCCAGAGTGGTAGATGCTAAAACGCACACTAAACTCCCCCCTGCATTCTGGGGCAGGAGGGGGCATGGCGATGCATTAAAGACAATGGCACCTCAGCCACGCCCCTCTTCCGCAATGTGATTGCCCGTACCGGAACGTGTGGCAAAACAATGCCTGCGTTCCGGTCCAGTGTGATTGCAAAAAAACTGCTGCATGCACAATTTTTTGGTGATCGCACTAAACCGGAACAGAGGCATTGTTTTGCCACGTGTTCCAGTGTGGGCGACCACACTGCTGGCAGGGGGCGTGGCTGCAGTGCCATTTACTTCAATGCATCACCACGCCCCCTCCCACCCCAGAACGCAGGTGTGTGGGATACAGTGCGTTCCAGCAGAAACCGATCTGGAACGCACTGTAATTGGTGTGAGCAAGCCCTTAGGGATAGAGAACAGGGACAGTACTGCTGGACAATGACAGGTACAGCACAGTAATTAATGACCCCTGCAGCATGTAGAATACAAGACTTCCCAGTTGTCTTCCCAGAGAGCCAGCAGACACCTGGGAAGTCTTGTCACAGCGCCATACAGCAACAGAGCCAGCAAAATGCTTAAACTTCAAGCCCCATTGACATTAACTTCAAGTCACTATCTGACTGCAGATGTCTCCCTACCTCTGTCCCCTCCTCGATCTTCTCGGTGTCCCCGAGGTCCGTCGACAGCTGCAACACCTCCAAACCACGCCCACTCCTCCTGCTAACCAATCCCGAGAAGGCAGCAGGAGTCTGAACCCACCCATTCAGCTGTCTCCGACTCCACCTACAATGTCCGGGGTTGCGGAGACTGGACTGATCGTCAGCCTGTCCGCTCCAGTAGTTCCCTGGCAGTGAGCACCGATGCCAGGACCGGGGTGGGATTGAAAGCCCTGTTCCTAACCGGGCCCCCCTCTGTCGCGGGCCCCATAGTGCCCGCATGGGTCGCTATGGAGGTAGTTCCGCCACTGGGAAGAGGCCCTTGTCCCCATCGGCACAGGGACAAGGTGCTTTTCCAGGGGCGACCCTGGAACAGAACCCTCCCAGTGATGAGGACATGTGGCCTGGTATGGGAGGGAGGGTGGCCACTTGCTCACCCCCCCGCCCCCCTTTTCCTGCCCTGCCAGGCCTGTGCTCGCACCAAGGGTCTGTCTGGTATGACTTTGAGGGGGACCCCACGCACTTTTTTTTTTTTTTTTTGGGGTCCCTCACTAGTAAGGGTAAAGCAGGAAGAACAGTATAGTAGACATGTGCGCTGGCCAAAAACTAGTTTTGTTTTCATTCGGATTTTTTGTTATTCCGTTTTTCGGGATTTGAGTCCAAAAGTCGATTGGTTTCGGCATTTGGACAAAATCCGAATGAATGTTAGTGGAAGTATGTATGAATTTTGTTACGGCCGAATAATCGTTAATAATGAAACGTCATACATACTACCTGCTAACAAATTTTTTTTTTTTAAGTTAATGCTTAACACAATAAAACTTTATTCAGGAAAGAAATTCGTAAGCATTCGAAATTTTTGTTATCGAAAATTCGTATTTGTTTTCATTCGTTATTTCTGTCATTCGGAAATTCGGATGCATCCGAATGTACAAATTCCTGAAATTTTGCCTGAATAACAAATTTTTACAAAACCAATCGCACATGTCTACAGTATAGCAACATGGATGCTATTGTTATGCTAATTGTGATACTAATTTGCCTGCAAACTGGACAGAGTAATACAGTATGCTAAGCTTCTCAAATGCTGCCAAGAATTTCTTGTACTAATTAAAGTGTCAACCGCCTGCAGTTTCAGTAACACCAGCAAGCAGCCAGTAAATGCAAGTTTATCTGCAGCCAAAACGTGAACTTTTCATTTTTTGAATGGTTAAAACTGAATCTGTGTCCCATTCGGGAGATTTGCCTCCATTTGTAGATACAAAATGAAGTGAGAAATATCTCCAGCAGGTTATTCACAAAAGGGTGAAGAGTTCGGAGAAGGAAGGAGAAGTGAACAATCTAGGACAACGTATCTGATTTGGAAAAATTCTCCAATTCAGCCCACGTTCCAGTACAGCTATGTTGTCCTAGTTTGTTCACTTCTCCCACCTTCTCCAAACTTTTCACCCTTTTGTGAATAACTCTGTAAATTGACGAAAATCTCCTCGAGAAAGTTGTTCTGAACAGGTGTCCCTATTGGGAGCTTTTCCCTTACCACTTACAGAGGTCTGAACTCTAAAGGTGCCCATACACCTTATGACCATCGCAAGTTCTTAGTTCACACTGCTCGATTCTCGTACGATCGCGGGATATGGGCACCTTAAGGTTACTTACTCAGGTCTGACCTTTTGGATTTCCCATCACTTTCTCTCCCACTGACAATGGTCACCAGGACAAATAAAAAGGGTGATTCTCCCACTGTGGGGGTACATTTCATATCCTGCTCTGCATGTAGCTCTTCATTGACTGATTTTGTGATGCTATCTCTTTTGCTTTAACGCTTTTGTGCCCAGAAGTCATTGATGCTTAGATGGCCAGGTCAAATTTAGCAGTGTCAACATGTGTCCATTGACTTGACAATAATTCCATGACTAATTTGCATACCTTAACATTTTTTATTGTCTATTATTATTTATTTTTTAAAGCAGAACTCCAGGCACACATTTTATTAACCCTTGCAGTGGGGTTATAAAGATGTAAAATAAAAATATTCTAAGTTTTAATTCATGATTTGCTTTGGGACTTTAAAAAATACTGTAATACTTAGCATACTGTAATACTACAGCATTAAAGTGTATTTCCACTTTTGCAGTCACATTTAAGAAACCCCACTTTTTTGTTTATTATGTGTGCCCATCCACACAACATATCTAAAAATAATAAACCAATATTTTGAGTTGTTTCTTTGGAGCAGGTTTATACATAGGGCACCATAGGCAGCTTCTATTG